CACACACACACACACACACTCACACGCATGCACACAAATTTGGATATGATGTCTTCATTAGTGTAAAGGGAAAGCTGCAGCTCTTGCAGGGCTTCCACCTCAGACTCAGCTCTCAGAGTAAACAACAGAAACGCTGCACGGTCAAGGATTTTAACAACCGTGGTTACAAACAACAAGGTCGGCTCACACAACAAAACAAAAGAAGAAGAATCTCATACAAACTGGCAGCATGAGGGCCAGTAAACTGAGTTAAAATGGTGCAACGCTGTCGTGTTTAAATACTGGAACAAAAATGGCAAATATCTGTAAATTATTAATATTTTATTAATAGATTTTATTCTGAAAACAGCCAAATAGCATAATTTATGGTCACACACAGCGGCGATTCCAGGTTGTACTTTAAAGGGGGCCAAAAAGGGGCAAAAGCCAAAATTTGGGGGGCACCCAATGACTATGTTATTCGTAGATGCAGCCTACAGCAATTTCTTGAGAAGTGTTCTTTACTTGTACTCACATTGTACGACTAAATATAGACCTAACATGATTAAATAGATCTAACAAAATAAACATGATCTGGAAAAGGTTTCTGTTCAGAACATACTTGTACAATATGGAATGTACAAAAACCGCTTCTTTCAAAAGCAGGTCATGACACTCAGACTGATTCACAGTGAAGACTCATGTTAGTAACAGCCTGATGGCTCACGGTACATTACAATGATACATACATGTGAATACACACATAAACACAATGCTCTCCTCTTTTATATGAACAATGTTGTTCTTCATTTGCTCTGAGGAATGTCTGTCTGTCCTGCTCTGCGTCTCTGATGATGGACTACAGCTGCTGGACTGGTCCTGCTTTGGATGCCTGTCCTCAGAACTGTCCCCCTGAACCTGTCTGGTTCACTGGTCTGACCCTCACATGGCTTCTTCTTCACTCTATTCAGGACTTTTGGGGTCTTTTGGACCCCAGGACATTTAGTTAAGATGACAGGTATTGTTTTTTGATTTTTAATGATTTCATTTTTAAATATAAAAAGAGGGACATTCTTGGGGTCTAATGGACCCCCAAAGACCTTCTATGAATGGAAACATGAAAGTCCTGAACAGGGTTCAGATAACTAACCATGCTGGCTGCTCCTCTTTCTGACATCTCTGAGCCCTGCTGCTGCTGGAACAGAGACTAAATGACACCATTCAGGTGGAACCCAAACTTGTGACGGGGAATGCCCTGGCTGCTCCCAAAACATCTCTATGTAAAGTGTCTTCATGTAACGTCAGCAGGTTTTCCCTGTTTCAAAAAAAAAAAGAAAAAAAAACACACCGTAGCAAGATCTCATGTCACATAATCATTAATGCAGGAACCTCTTGATGGTTATTTACCATCTAATCGGCACGTTTCATCACCTTCTCTACCGAATAACATCA